TGCTTAGTGTGACGCTCGCTCCGAAGTAATAAATGTTGTGGAAGCTCCGCGTCATACTGGTGAACAGCGAGTGACTGCTGAATCAGATGGTAGTCAGTGTGGTATGCGGTTGAGCCCGTGTCACCAAATAAAAAGATGGCCTCTGCGTGGCGTGCGTCGGCACGCTTGAGGTCTATTTCTTTCACTGGGTCCCCAACCATGAGGATCACGCGGTATTTAAACCACGGCAGGTTCATCAACAGCTTCACCTCTGGTGAGTGGTCAACCGGCGAGAGCAGCACAATTCGGACGTCAAGGTACTTCCGCCAGCCGCCGTAAAAATTCTCCAGAATAATATCAACCCCGAGCTCTGTGAAGACGCCACAGATAATAACATGTGGCTTCTTTCCACCGCGAGAATCATACGCATTGTAATACAAGTGATCGTGGCCAATGTGTGCCAGTCGCTGCAACAACGGCAAAAAGAAACTAAGGGCGATCACAATGAAGCCAATCATCAACAGTCGAGCCGGAGTTGTTTGTGGTGAGACATCGCCAAACCCAATTGTGGCGAAGCCAACAATCATGCAGTACAGAGAATCGTAAAGATCCATGTAATTCCCGCATGTGCTCTCGACAATCTGGTGTGTGCCGACACAAGTGCAGATGACAGCCAAGAGCTTTGTAAGGAAACGGCAAATATCTCGGGTGATATCCATCATCCACCACGCCAGCTGTGGATAATCCAGGAGAACCACCACACAATCATACAGCCACCACACGCGCAGATACATGGGCACCCAAAAACTCTGCCACTTTTTGTCGGTCAAAGCCCCAATGCCAAACACTATCATCGGGAAACTTGTCGCAGCATTCACTATCGAGAGCCACGAGAGGCAATACCGCATCTTGTCGTCTTCCCCGAAAAGGAGAATAACCCACTCCAGGAAGAAGATGACATTGATCCCGACTTCCACAATAAACACTGTTTCACTCCAATGGAACTCAGCGACTGATGTGGCTGCTGTTACCTGTGACGTCCACACGTAGAATGCCACAGACACCAACTCCATGATGAGGTGGGCGATCAAAATACAGATGGACACATGGCTGTATTTCTGATTGACAACCTCAAATAGTTTGCGAAGGGATCGAATATTCTGTATTGAATTGGGGCGGTACGCCATCAGTGAAAATTGATGATTCATTGTATGGCTACAGTTATGGTCTGTCTCGAACTCTTCTTTGTCCTTCATAAAAACAAAAAAAAATAAAGAGGGGACGAGAACTCAAGGCGCATCGAATCCACATATCCGGTGTGTAACGCACTCCTGAAACTGGCTCCATTCCAGCAGCAGATAACACAGCCACAGTCTCGGTTCTTTGCAGGAGATTGCTTTGCCATGGTTCCACATCCGCTCAACGCGGTCACACTACGCCACCCCATTCACGGCAGTCTGCTTGGACACTAAGCCCTCTGGGCGGTAGCGTGCCCGCACGAGTGCACCAGTCAGAATAACCAAAGCACTTTTATGAGCCTTCCACCGACCTTTTTCCCCCTTTATAGCAGCGTCAGGAAACAAGCAATAAAGGGTGGGCGGTGATGCTGTCGTCGTCGTAGTCGTCGCAAACTTGGGATTCTGTGGCCCCCGTCAAATGTTTCCGCACCTGTGACGGCGGTGCCGCTACTCACATTTCGAGTGGCAGCGCTGCTGCAAACCACAAGAGCGCCGCGCACTGAACAAGACTTCCCTGCCGAGCAGCAGCAGCACCACCTGTGCGTGGTACAGAGAACAGGCCCGTGGAACATAAACGAGCCGTCATAAATTCACTCCGACGCGTCCATCCCCAAGCCTGAAGCCAAGAGCATACTTGCATGCAGACCATGACCGCGTGGCGGTGTGAACAGCAACGAGGAGCGCAGCCGATCAACTCTCAGCCACCGTTGAGAGCAGATACCTGCCATATTGCCCCACAGCATTCGTGCAGAGGCCGTTCTGCACGCGTGTCTGCCGCTCTCCCCGCCGACGAGTGAAGGGCGCAGCGTCGAGGGGGCACGACAAATCACCTATGCGGCGCAACAGTGAGGGGACGTCAGCCACCGACAGGCGGCAGGCGGTCGCCGCGCACGGCCATCCCGTACGCAATGCATCGTCACCAAGAAGCAGAAAGCAGTCCCTGTGGGGGGAACAGACACAAGAAAAACAGCCACACGTGGGCAAATCAGCGTCGCATGGGATGATTTGAGGAACCCAGTGGACCAGCGTCCGAGCACGCAAGGCCTTTCGGAACAAGAAGACAATAAACTAAAATGCCGATTGGCGTTAATTATCCCACGGCAACTACTTGGGCAACTCCAACCTCTTGGTCAGCTCCGCATGCCCAAAGGAATATCCCAGCAGGGCGGTATAGCAGCAACCAAAAAGAAACAGCGAGCACTCGTTTTCAAACGCAATAGCATCCACCTCTCCTGTGCGGAAAGGTACGGAGCACTGCGCATTCGCCACGTCTCACAGCGTGTAAATCTACACGCATACGCATACCGCGCAACTGTGTAGCATGACTCGGTTGCCGCATTCCCATGACATCACGCAGCACTATTGGCCCCAGGCTCTACTGATACGCGTCACAAATTGGGTGGTGGTAGCACAGGAGGCTCAACGCGCATTCGCCAGCCTCGGTGCCAGGAAGAACTGTGGCCCCATCACCTCTACAAAGCCTTTGGATGAGCCAATCTCCCGCAGTTAAGTGAAAGCAGGTCGGTGCGGCGAAGCACACTGCCAAAGAGAGGGCACACACACCCGCGCAGCTGATGCACACCTATGCTCCGGCGGGGGATACCGAACCGTAACGCAGCAGTCAGTCAGCTCAGCCACCGTCGGGCCATGCGTCCAACCAGCTGAGCCAACACCATGCACGGTTGCGCATTTTGAAAAAACTTGTGCTTTCAGCGCACGCCAAACACACCGCAAAAAACAACGATGTGCAGAGTCTAGGACACTCTGCTCGAGGCAATGGTCAGCCACTGGCCCAGGTCCCTGCCAGCCAATCTCGCCCCCTGCCCGCATCATCGTTGTCGCTGCAGAGAGCGGCGGAACGAATGGCAGACGCAAACAGGTCACGTGGCGCAAAGGTTCCTCGTTGCGCCTCAGCGAGGGGTCGGCACGGCCCCAGCAGCTGCAGAGGGCCTTGGCGGGTGAAGCAGGGCCCATCCAAGAAAAGAGGGCGCGCAACTTTCCCCCCTTTCGTGCAGCCTTCCGCGGTAGGCGGCAAGCATCCCCCACCCACCCCTCGCCCCCAGCAATAGCGGGAAGGGGGCAGCGCCCAGCACGCACCAACCCTCGACAAGCCTCCACTCACTGTGCTCGCCTGCGTATGTGCGCCGACTGCGGGGCCCGCGCATCATCGGTCCCGGTCACGCTTCCCAGACGTCTCCTTTCCGCGCCACCGAAAGCGTCGGTGGGCCATGTTGCAAATGCACAACGCATCGAATGTAGTCCACACAGTGAGAGGTGCCCCTTCACCTTCATCCCATAGACTTCATTCTCTTCCCTTCCTTGTGCATGTGCGATTGGGTCGCTCATCGAACAAAAAGCCAGAAGGAAACAACGCAAAAGTAAGAAGAGCATCTGTGGGGCGCATGCGCCACTGAAAAAAACAAAAGGAAACACACCAGTAAACAGATCACGTCGTAGTTTCTCTTTAATAGAAATAAGATGGATAAAGAGACTTCTTCTGCTACAAACGTTCTCTTCAGATGAGTAGTCCCAAAGAGAGATCCATCCATGAAACCGTTGGTTACTACCGAAGAGAAGGAGGCGGTGAAGCCATCTTTCACCCACCCACTCGTGGGTGGAGCCGGAAGGGCTGGGTGCTCTTCCGAAGCACCCTCTTTGCGACCAACAATATGTAATGATGATTGGAGAACAAATAAGATATATAGTTGTTATTTAATACATAAAAAATGTAAGATCTGGCTCTTCGTTTTCGTTTTTTTTTGTGGAAATGCTCAGCTGACAACTTTCGTTTTCTTTTGAATTTTTTGAGGTCACCCTTTTGTGCGTGGGTGCCTGTGCGAGTTGCGGCAATCCCCCCGCCCCGCTTGCCGGTCTCCGGGGAAAAAACTCCTCCTGCACCAAAAAATACAAATAAAAATAATAGTAACATGTCCCCGAGAAGATGCTGATAATGGAGGCACCTTCACGAAATAACAAGAAAAAAAAAGGACCATCGTGGTTTCCACCACTTCTACTGACAACACGATACTTCAATGACAGCAATCCGCCCGCTCTTGAAGAACACCCTCGCCTTCTCGCCGATGTGCATGTGCGAGAGGGCTGCCTCGACCTCGGCATCCACCGCCTTCACGACGGTGCCGTCGACCGCAACGACAGTGCCACCCAACGCTGCCTTTGGACTGTCGCAGAGACTCGGCGAGAGCATCTTGAAGAACATGCCGTGCTCCTCGACGATCCGGCGGGACATTTCAAAGGCAAAGCGTCCTGAGTACTCGGACCACGAGCCGCAGTAGAGGAACGGCTCCCCGAAGCCCAAGTGGCAGACCAGCGCGATGTTGAACGTCGCCGTGACGCCGCTGCCGCAGTAGAAGACACAGTTAGAAACGTCCGGGTGGCTCTCGTCCAATACACCGTGGAGTGCTTTAAGGACATTGCAGCGGCACTCCTCTTCTGACATGAGGCACCTGAGGCCATCCTTGCATGCGATACTGCTGCACCACGGCAGGTTCAGAGCGCGGTCGATGTGGCCGGGCATTGTATCCACCGTGTATGGCCGCACCGTCGTCGAGAAGCGCAAGGAAGCCCGCGCGTCCACCATGACTGCGTTGGGTGGCACTTCGTTTATTGCGAGGGCCCGTACAAATACTGTCCCGTACGGCCAGCTTTCTGCTGGATGTGGCTTCTCCTTCTGCGGTCCCACTTCCAATGGCAGCCCCGCCGCACTGTAGGCCTGAAACCCGCCATTCAAGACGTACGCCTCGACGCCGAGTGAGTGGAGCATCCACCACATGCGGCAAGCCCCCAAGCCACCGCACTCGTCGTCGTAGCAGAGTGCCGGCTTTTCGGCACCGATGCCCATCGACTTACACCACTCGATAAAGACATGCACGTCCGGCAGAGGGTGGCGTGCGGTGGTGCCCGTGAGAGGCCCGCTGAGTTGTTCATCCACATCAACGAACATGGCACGCGGCAGGTGGGACCGTAGGTACTCGTTCACGCCGTACTCTTTGCCGTCCAGAGAGTAGCGCGTGTCAAACACCTGGTACTCTGTGAGCCGATCCGCAATGTCTTCCACGGAAAGAAACACCTTGCCAGGGTGCTTTGCGGAGTGTTTTCCATTCATGCCCATTGTCATTGAAAGTCACTGTCGTTATTACGCCTGTCTCTACAAATGTGAGCTGCCTAAGAGAACAACAGAAGGAATTGCACAGCAGGGAAGCCGATTTCAACCGAAAGGTAGAGAGATGGACACACAAGCAATGATAATCCAAAGAAAAGAGTGTGACTAAGCTGACAATGCAGCCTTAAGCCGCATCCGCATGTGTGTTACTACTTACAGGCATGGGTGCTGCGCCGTCAAATGAAAGCCACCTCACCCTTGGTCACCAGCCTCGCCGAAAAAAAAGAAACATCCACGCACAGCAATACCTCATCAATTCAAGTTGTTTTCGTTTCGAGGGAAGAAGCTTTAAACTCACAACGGTTCCTGTCTCTTTACAGGTGCAATGCACAGAGAGGAGAACACAAACACAAAGAGAGACGTTTTCATGCCGCCTCTTTCACAGTCACACACAGAACGTTTCACGACATCGTACAAAGAGAAGACCATCGGGCAAAGTCATATACCAAGCAGGAAGACAACTAGACCTATTGTATTTCGCCGCGAGTGCTCCGCTGATACTCGCCATTAGCCCTGCATATTCATATTGATGTTTTCTACACAAGCATCGGCTATCCATCAATGCTGTGTGAATTCGGTGTCTCTATTCAAACGGATCCATAATGCTCTCCTCACAGAGCCATAAATCTTCATGCAGAAATGCGTATCCGCACATCTCTATGCGTACTTCATTCATTGAGAAGGTATGCTGCGTGCCCCCTTCTGGAAAGCCCCGCCCACCAGCAACACGAGAGACACAATCCGGGTCTCACCAATGCTCCTGTTTGAACAGGTGACTGGCATATGAGAGTGGCCAACATGCACCACAGCACACCTCACGTCACGTGCACTTTTTAACATTTACCTGAGCACGCCAGTGGTAGCAAGAGGCATGAGAACAATTGTACGATATGTGCCACGATGTCTTGCAGACACAGCAGAATCGAAATGAAGGTACCATAATGCAGGGTGGGCACACGGCCTCGATGTCGCCACGCCGAAACAACCGTCCGGCGTAGTCATGAGCCATCGTTGAGTGCACAGACTGAACCGAAGCCACAGTGTCCCTTCGCTGTCGTAACGAGAACAAGTGCAGAAGGAGCCTGGAGGAATATTAGTCGAGAGAAAAGAGGGAAAACGACACAGCGTGAAGAATTCGTGGCTCTCGTTCGGTCATTTCAGCATCCATTCCCTTCTTGCACCCAATTCCTCCGGCAATAGGACGAGAAGTTCAGAGGCTCTCTTTCCACGTGCCAATACTCCATGTTCCAGGAAAGCCGTACAGCAGCACAAAAAAACTTCTCGCTTAGACTGCCCATGCAGTAGGGCATCACACACACGTTGATATGAGCCTCGTCAAAGATGCCCAGACCGCAGCCGCAGTAATCTCTCCGCTTCTACACAGTTTCGCGTGCCGCAGCCATTGTAACAAAAACAAAACATAACGAATAGCACCATGGCAATCGTTGGAGCCGGTGGCTAAAGGCCTCACAGAACACAGGTGCTGCAACACATTTTGTCCGCTGTGTAATTCAACGTAATTTGAAGACACTGAGCGAGTGGGTCTTACCCTGGCGGTCATTCCTGGGCAAATGTGGCACAGCATGAAAGCATGCCCACCACAAGCACAGTTGTGTCGACGTGACACAGACGCTCTCCGCCCATGCCAACAAACAAAAAAAAACCACTATTCAAATAGTGATACGCACACACACACACACACACAAACACTTCGTGGGTAATACGCCTCGGCACATTTTCACTTTTAGTTTGGCGGAGGCCGGCCACCTCTCCTTAATGGAAAGCTGTCCGCGCCACACGTGAAGCCAATGTAGTGGTGGCTCGCACGCAAGAATTACCGTCATCATTCATTATCACCAAACAACCACGGAGAAGTGTAAATCACCCGATGTCATTCATCCAG